TCGGCTAGTTTTTCGAATAAATTATTGCCAAATTGTAGTAGGATTCTTTTTGTATGTAGCACAAAAATGTGCTCCAAACTTTTTCCTCTCACCTGTAGTTTGCATAATCGGTTGCCTTTTCCAAGGTCAATGTTGCAAATTCCAAATGTGTACCTACACATATTCATATAGATATAAATAATGTGTATTTTTATTAAAAAACATCCTTAATAACGCTAATAGTGATATTTGTGTGAGTATGCGTATAAATCTAATGTGTAGACGACACACACACAGGCATAAAAGTTTTTATTAGAAGTTCATTGCGAAAGCAGCCATAAAATTCCATTGTCTGACGTATATTTTCAAGCCAATAATGTAAACATTTTGAAACGCAGAGTTCCTGGTGGTGATTTCATCATTTCAGATGATCATATCGGAAAATTAATGTATGTAAACGATTTATATTGTTAGTTATTTGCATAAGTGATCATCTGATAATATTATAAATCTAATAGGTAGTTATGAAACTCAATTTTTTACGTAGTTCCTGTTTAATCAGTTTGTTTACGAATTCGAATAACAATTATCATCTACACGGTGTAGGTTTTATATGTTGTAGTTTATAATAAAATATTCGATCTCTTCAATTATTAAGTAGAAGACTTTTAAGGATGTTTGGGAGGTGTGTCAAAATGCTACGAGACAAAAATTTGGAATAACGTTCCTCATTCGATTCTAAAACTCCTGTAAAAATTACAAATCGATTCACTAAACGGTTAAAATTTACACGTCATTTTATGGAGATTCGTTGGCCGAACAGGTTAAATTTATTTTTATTAACAGAAAAAAAGCTACCAGAAATTTCAAACTTTTATAATAACTAATTTGAACTCTGGAGAATCACTTTAGCGTAAGGTTATTCAAATTCACTAAATGGTTATCGAAGGAAAAAATGAAAAATTAGCTGAAAATCTCCTTTTTACTTGATAATAAAATGATAATATTTATAATTGTCTGAAATAAATTCAATTTTAAAGTTTTAATTATTATTTAAACATATAAAAAAGTTTTATGCTCATTATTAATAGAGATTGAAACTTAATATTTTTTGTTTTCGAAGTTGAAATCAAGGCATATTCGCTGAAAAAAGTCAGTTATATATTACGTTATTTCTTATTTTATTCAGTTTATGGTCAAATTCCAAATTTTCTCTCAAACCGTATACTTTTTTTTTAGTATAGATAGTATTTATTTACCTTATGATATGCTGCAAAAGGTTTTTAATTACGAATTTCTATTTTTATGTACTTTTGTCTCCGATTGTACCTCCCAAACATCCTTAACTTGTTAGATTAATCAATTTGTCAATCAGTTTCCAAAAAACTTCCAAAAGTGACAGCTAGAAAAATATATTGATAAAAGTGAATTTTCTGTATTCAGCCTGAAATTAACCAGAATTCATTCCTTTTTTCTGTTTTATTTATTCTACGCATTTAACGACGAATATACGAGGGTGGATTGATAAGTTTCCGGCCTGACCAAGAAAAACAAGGTTTTTAAAAAATTTTTTTTTTTATTTCTCAACATAATCTCCTCCAAGGCTGATACATTTCTCATAGCGGTGTTCCAGTCTATTAATGCCATCTCTATAGACTGATTCGTCAAGCTCCTCAAAATAACCATTTACAGCTTCGATTACTTC